AGTGGTTTGATGCATGAGGGTTGTGCAACAGAAGGGGTTAGATCATGCACAAAGACGTATGGGAGTGGCGGGCAGTTCCAATTACACAAGACAACCACTGCCCGCTGCTGTCAAGCAGACGCACGAGCTGTTGTTGAGCAACAATCCCACACGCCGCTCGACCCGCGGCCAACCCCGGACCCCCGACGAGCGCTCACTGTAGATGTAGATCTTGTAGGTCTCGGCCTTGGAGACCTTCTTCTTCTTGGCCTTGCCGTCCGCGGCCTTCTTGGCCGGGCCCTTCTTAGCGGGACCCTTCTCGCCGACCTTGGGGGCCATGGTTGCTGACTGGTGTTGAGGTTGAACGAGCCGGGTGTGTTTGAAGCGTGTGTGAACCGGATCGTGGCAAGCAGGTCCTTTATGGGGTGGAAATTTGAGAGCAGCAGCTTCGGACAGCTGCCCACCGAGCTCAGAGCCCCGCGAGGGAAGGCAGCACGAAGCTGGGGCGCCTGAGCCCTCGAAGTCCGTTCAAAACACCCCGAGCTCCACATCCAGCTCATACAAGCTATCTCTCGCACTCTTGACACCCCTCGCAACCACCTCCAGTCGTCTTGAACACCATGTCTGGCCGCGGCAAGGGCAAGTCGGGCAAGAAGCCCGTGTCCCGCAGCTCCAAGGCCGGTGAGGACCTTAATCAGATGGCCTGAGACTCGCTGTGCAGTCTGCAGGGCGTGGGCGGCGGCACCACGGCCATTGTTGATTTCGGGCATGAGGCGGGGCAACGCGCAGCGGCAGAACCGGCGACCCCTTGGGGTGGCCATACTGCATGCTGCTGGCGCCTTTTTCGCTGACACTCAACCATTCAAACCCAACCCAACAGGGCTGCAGTTCCCCGTGGGCCGTATCGCCCGCTACCTGAAGAAGGGCCGGTATGCCACCCGTGTCGGTGCCGGCGCGCCCGTCTACCTGGCCGCCGTGCTTGAGTACCTCGCCGCCGAGGTGCTGGAGCTGTCGGGCAACGCCGCGCGCGACAACAAGAAGAACCGGATCGTGCCCCGCCACATCCAGCTGGCCATCCGCAACGACGAGGAGCTGTCCAAGCTGCTGGGCGGCGTGACCATCGCGTCCGGCGGCGTGCTGCCCAACATCCACGGCGTGCTGCTGCCCAAGACCAAGGGCAAGAAGGGCAAGGACGAGGCCGAGTAAATGGCGCACCACGCCTTTGCCAGTGCTGCGGCACTCGCTAACCCCCCAAAACGGTGGCTCTCGCCACCACCAAACCATGACTTGTACTCACCCTGTTTTGTTGCATCATGTTGTGGCCCAGGATGGTGAGGGGTGTGCACACTTGCTCAGCATGGCATGACCTCGGTCCTCAACCCTAGTCCGCCTGCGCGCGCATCCTCAGCATTGCACAGCAAGCAGCTTCATTCCAGCTGCCTGGTTGTCAACGCTTCGGTGACTTTGAATATCACTTGTCTCTCCTTCTTTCGCAGCTGCCGCCCAAATCAGGGTCATCCATTTGACAATTGTCCCTAAACCCTGGGAAAAGACACATTTGCCTGCGCAAACACGTTACATCGCCGAGAACGGCCGTGTGGTATCACAAAAAGTAGTAAAGAGGCAACAAATACATGAAACAGCAGGACACAAGACAGGACAGCTTTGGATGGGTTGTGTATAGGGGGGTCAGGTAGAAAGTCTTTGATGGTAATCTGCACAGGAAGCAAAAATTTGAAAGCCAGATGGCAGCACCCTGAAGCCACGGCCGCTTGCCACAGCTGCTGCCTTGCACCAGCTGTCCAACCCCTCAGCAGTTGGCATCGAGCACCTGCAGCACGCCCTTCCTGATCAGGGGCTCCGCCTCGCTGCACTGCATGTTGTGCACCGACCCCTTGATCAGGCTGACCTTGGCCGAGTGGCTGAGGGCCATGCTGCCGTGGCTCTTGAGGACACGAACCTTGACGCACGCGTCCTTGGGGGGGTGCAGGTCCTGGGGGCCGCACGGCGGAGCGCATGTGCGGTGGGAGGCATGGCTCAGCAGGGTGTCGCGCCGCGGGGCAGGGTCGAGGGCAGCACGCGGCCTGGAAGGCGTGTTTCCGCGGTGTCACCCAACCTGGCGCGTTTCTGCGCACCGTTGTGAGGTCCATCTGCACGCCGGCCTCCCCGAAGCCCATGTAGTTGTTGAGCGCCCGGTCGTACGCGTCAGCAAACTGCGGCGTTTGGGGCGTACGATGCGGCAGCGGCGGGGCGGCGGGG